GATTCGAACCTGCCACCTTAGGTGTATGTGGCTGGCACCTTAGCCGCTTGAGCCACAGGCGCCAAGCCAAGTCATGGCTTTTTTATGTGAACACTATACATTCAGAGTTTAATTCAGACATAACTCTCCATGATAGCAAAATAGTCTATTGGAGAGGGTGGAGCATAAACTTAATCTAGACTTTTCTAAATCTGGGACAAATTTAGTCCATTTTATATAAAACCTCTTTTATTCCTTTTGTATTTCCATTTAGAGGGTGTCTTAGAAGTTGCCATACATAGGGAAAATGAGAAATTGTAGCTAAATATACTTTTATTTACAAAGTATTCATTATAAAATTTTACAAAATATTTGCAAAATATTCTCTGTGTTAGCTACTTCTTTCTAAAATTTTAAAGAATATTTTGTAAATAAAGGTATGTTTTGCTATAATTTACCATTTTCTGTATGTATGGCAACTTTTGGGACACTAGGAATTCAAGAGAACTAATATCACTTGAGCATCTCTAGTCTGAAATGCTCCAAAATCCAAACCTGGAGCACCGACATACATAGGAGATGCATATTGGAGGATTTTGGATCAAGGATGTGTAACCAGAAAGTAAAACGCAAATATTCCAAAATCTGAAATCCAAAATACTTCAAAATACTACAGCATTTTGGTTAAATGGTACTCAACCTGCATAGCAAAAGACAATCTCTTGTTTCCTTCCATCTTACTTAAAACATTAAGTTTTAGTAGTTGCAACTTAATTTAAAAACACTTGTCTTGGCGGCACCCATAGCTCAGTGGGTAGGGTGCCAGCCACATACACTGAAGCTGGTGGGTTCCATCCTGGCACAGGTCAGCTAAAACAATGACAACTGCACCAAAAACAATAAAAATAGCTGGGCGTTGTGGGAGGTGCCTATAGTCCCAGCTACTCGGGAGGCTGAAGCAAGAGAATTGCTTAAGCCCAAGAGTTTGAGGTTACTGTGAGCTGTGACATCACGGTCTGCTACATCACGGTCTGCTACCTAGGGTGACAGCTTAAGACTCTGTCAAAAACAACCACCAAGAAAAAAAAAAAAAACCAAAACACTTGTCTTCTCCTACCTCAATTATCAAAGGGAGTTTTTCCTAATACTTGCCAATGACATGTGGGGTACCTGTATTTGAGAAGATGTAGCTTCAGGGAAGGGATCAATTTTAATTTTAGGTAACTAAAACTGTGTGACTAAAACTCTTTTAGAGTGATAAATAAGGCACCTGCCACAACACCTGGCTATTTTTTGGTTGCAGCCGTCGTTGTTTGGTGGGCCGGGCTGGATTTGAACCCGCCACCTTAGGTGTATGGCTGGTGCCTTAGTCGCTTAAGCCACAGGCACCGAGCCAACATTTCCTTTGTAGTTGAAACTAATTGAGGGGAGTGAACCAGTTTAAGTTTTACTATTTGAATAACTTTTGCTAATAATCACCACTACTTTTGAGTTTCACTTTTTTATTATTTGAATAACTTTTAGTAATAATCATCACTACTTTTGAGTTTACTTTTTTCCTTAACGGTTGTCAGAGGTGATCTTGGAAACCAGATCTGATTACTGAGCTGCTGTTTGGTTTTTATCCTGGTAGGTGGCTCTTGTCACTGTAGACCTTTTGTGAAGGTGAGAGTGAGGGTGTTTCAACAATATTGAAGTTAAACTGAATCAGTTCTTAAGAATTCAGACCAGTCAATGAATAAAATTGTTAGGACCAATTTTAGCCAAACACTGTTGGTTAATAGTATTGATTTATTAGTGTTATATGGATGTTCAGTCTCTCTACCTAATTAGAAAATTTTTCTCTGGGGGGGGGGAGGGGGGCTGGGCGTGGTGGCT